AACAGTTGCAGTGCCACTCAGCGCTTTGAATCGCAAAGATCTGGTGGGCACTGTCATTGCGCTCGTCACCCTGAGACATAAGTGGACACGTCCCATGTTCCTGTAATTTCACCAGCACCCTTACCCATCAAAACCAGAACACAGTAATGCTGACATTACTGCTTGGCGGCAGAAATAGGAAAGGACTAAAACGTAAATAGGACTCTTTCCGGTGTGACGCGTTCTGTCTGCCCACCATTTCACTCTCCGGGCGTTTACAAGATTAATTGCAGTTGCGGGAGTTCCCATTTTTCATATTAAATTTCGCACAAAATTCTGAGAAACTCAGAGGTGCCAGTTCCGGATTCGAATCCACGACCTTCTGCTTGAGAGGCGGTAGACCAAACCTTTACGCTACCACGGCTTTTCAGGTAACTTAATTACTAAAAAAATATATTGCTTTTCGTTTCAATAAGCTGTATCAGAAGACCATTTTGTTTTAATTCATTGATTGTTCTTTTTCTTCATGATAAGCATAATATGCTCATATTAGATTCTTCTTAAAATTGTGTCAATAATTTAAATATCTGATAAAAATGATTAGTACTACTAAATAGGTAACTTAATTACTAAAAAAAATATATAGCTTTTTGTTTCAGTAAGCTCTACCAGAAGACTATTTTGTCTTCTAGAAAGTATTATTTTAATTTTTTTGTTGTAGTTAGTTAAGTCGTAAACTACAGACATCATTATGCAAATCGCCTTTGAACTGATTATCAGTATGTTCCTACTTAGTACTAAAATGTTGTTTCGAACAGTCTATTATAAGTATATATATTAATTTGATATATGTTTTTTATCTTCACTTAATTTTTGAATACATTAATTCCTTTAATATTAATTGAAATGACAAGTCATTAATAACAATTTCGATAGCCACAATTTAGACAAAAATATACAGTGATATTCAGTGTACACTATTGAATGTACTACATTCGATATAATTCATAATTTAAATTCCGATGAAAGCTATCAAAACTGCAAGATTCTATCCAATTTCTTGAGTGTATTCGAACGTAAGGAATCGAATCTTAAATATCTCAAAAACAATCAAAACCTACCCAAAATTTAACATAACATCCAAAAAATTACAATTATAATTTGTTATGAATTTTTATAGAAGCGCCTAATAATTATTTTCCTTTATAATAAAATCAGCAGTTCCAAGAAGTTTTGCATTTTTAATTCATTCAATAGTCGAAATAGTATACTATCGGACTTCAAACATACAAAACGTTTTACCATACAGCTACAAATAACAGGTGAGCTGCCAAATTTTTTCTGCCCTATGTACAAGAGGTGACAGATAAAATAGCCAGGTTGCTAAGGAAGTTTTCCATAAAAACTGTTTTCACCCCCTTAACCAGAATAGGAAAAATGTTACGTTCACCAAAAGACCCCCTTCCTTCACAAACACCGGGTGTCTATAAAGTAAACTGCAGTTGTGGGAGCTCGTATATCGGTCAGACTAAACGAACTATTGTCAATCGTATAAAGGAACACATCCGAGCAGTAAAAAACAATGCACAGAAGTCGGCTATAGCACAAGATCTCACACAGACTGACATTAACCACTGGATCGAGTTGCATAGCCCCCAGGTATTCTCGACACAACGTCACTACATACCACGGTTGGTACGAGAAGCCATCGAGATCACGAAGTACAAAACATTTAACCGTGATGATGGTTTTAAACTGTCCAGTGCATGGAATCCGGTCCTTAGTGCGTGCAGTAATAAAAACAAAAACACCTCGAGTTCAGTTTCGCGTGTGGATACAGTGAGTGTGGTTTGTGTAAAAAAAGTGAGTGACAATGGTAACGCCACAACAAATGGCGATGAAGGTAGTCGTCGACAACGCAAGAGGGTAGACAGATATGTCTGCTCTTAAAGCTGTCATCTGTCGCCGTCCAGTCAACTCGTGACCATGGAGCGTGCAACCGTTCCGAAATATCGGGAAAATAGAAAGAATACTGAAGATTTTTTGATGGGTGGCAAGGCATTTGCATTATTATTGATCATACTTTAGTATCGCAAATGTCCACGACAGTAATCACTAACTGATGGTTACAATCATTTCAAAAGGCTTTTTCTTCAACCTACATCTTCGATCAATAAAACCCTTTACTTTAATTAGTTTTCAAAATACATACTAACACGTACTTAATAAAAGCTTACATTGTGGGCACTTGGTGAGGAGGTCCCGGGTTCAATTCCCGGTAGGACCAATTTGGAAAATGAACTTTTCTAAATTGGTTCTGGTATGGGTATTCTGAGAAACCCCCCAGAATTACCTGTAAGAATTACCTGGGACCTCGTGAGTAGATCTTTTGGTACGATCTTCTTCTTCTTAACAATGAATAATGTATACACTGATTTAAACTTTGACTATGATGCAATACGTCGACGTTTCGGATGTATTGCAACGTATGCGGTCTCGAAGGGACTGAAGAATCTTCTAGTTCTTCTAACTACCCTCAATTGTTCTTCATTATTTATTTGTGCAATAGGGTTATCACTAAATCGACACGCAACACACATTTATACACGATTAGGCCCCAATTTCTAAATCGAACATTTTGTATTCTTTAAGCTCTTTTTAAAAATTCCGTGACTAACATTGAAACCGCGTGGGTGGTTAAAGCAATATCAGCAGTACTTCGTTCTTTGGCAGAAAACTGCGGCTCCCTCCCTAGCGACACTGCGCACGTCAAACGTACGAGTTTGGAATAACATCGTTGAATGAGGTTGGAAAACTGCAGAGTCGTAAGAATAATTTGATTCATAGCGAGCCCTTTCCTGTGTTTCGAGTCTCAAGGAAATGTTTAATTTATTTTTTTATATCTCTGTCTGTACACTACTTCTAGTAAGTGCGATTGGTTTGTAAATAAATACTTAACCTACTTAAAGTACTAGTAATTTCAGTAAAAAGTACTAAAAAATCGACCTCAAAAGTTCGTGGAACTACATTTATTTGCTAAGTTTTATTAACATCGGTTGCCGGAAACTGCACAAAACCGGATTCATCAAGTAGTTCGCCACTATACGGGTCTTAACACAGGAGATAACAAAAATCGGTACTCACTGCTTAATTGAAAAAAAAATACGCCTTCCATTGGAGCATAGCAAAACCAACCATTAAAATAATTGCTCCTTATAAAATTAGGAGCTATTTATAAAAATAAATCTTCATAAACGGCCACCCTTAGAGGTGAAATATTGGGTGTCCCAAAAAACATGCAAGAAGTAACTTTGATAGAAAACACAGGTTCATAATTAAAAATTGTAATTTTTTTATTGCTCCATGAAGTACATGGAGGCCTCCACGGCTTTGCTGGCGCATTCACATTTTCATACTTCATTCATACTTTTCATGACATTTTCGATGACCGTTTTGCATAATTGTGGCTGAATCACGTTGATACTGCGCTCAATTTCTTTTAAGGCTTGGGTGGTCGTGGGTTTCTTGGCATAAACCTTCGATTTCAAAATGCCCCAAAGAAAAAGTGGAAATTACACGACCAGTAAATGACTCGTGCAGTAATTGCATTGTTTCTTGCGCTGTATGGCATGTGGCAATGTCTTGTTAAAACTTCATGTCATCCACATTTTTATTTAAGCTTTTTTTGAAATCGATGGTTTATGTTAACAAGCCCCTGACCACAAACGCCTTGAAGATAAAAATTGAGCGCTGTATCAACGACATTCAATCACAGTTGTGCAAAATCGTCATCGAATATTTCATAAATACACATAACCCTATACTATGTACTTCATGGATTAATAAAGGAAATACACTTTTTAATTGTAAACCTGTGTATTCTATCAACATTATTTCTTGCGTGAGTTTTGGGATTTTACTTCGAACGAACGACGAACAAGTCATACGTCTTATGGTAAGCTACACGCCTGTCTATAATAATTGCAGTGCTAATAAGAGCTTTATATCTGCGCCCGTCACCCTCAGACATAAGTTGACAGGTCCCATGTACCCGTAATTTCACCACCACCGTTAAGACCGGAACACAGTAATGCTGATATTAAATGCTGATAAGTAATTCCTTGTGTTGGTAATTAGTGAATTTACATTATAAACGCGACGGTATTTTTCCTAAAATATTCTACAAATTTCAAATTCGTCTCGTTGCTCGACACATATTGATTGCAATTCAGTCAATTGAGTGGTTTTCGAAACTTCACGAAGCTAGTAACACATCTGCCCTTTTCGTTTATGAAATCATTGGTATTATTAATTCATTTCTTTATTTGTTGCTCCCACTAACCATATCAATTGCTCCGATAATATACGCTTTTTAATAGAACAAAAAGTTCTCAACAGACGTACAAACTCTTTTCCTTATCTGTCAAAATCTGTGACAGTCACTGTGGCACGTCTAAGTGCCCTCGCTCACTGGGATACTAGTCGGGGCCACTAAACGCTACCACTAGTTGCTGAGTCAAGCCACTAGACGCGGCTACCACTTGTAGATACAAATCGAACTGGACGCAGACACAGTGTTGTTGAATTCGACGTTGGTGTTAGCAGCATAAGATATGAAAATAGCACATAGAAATATAACTTTATTTTTAATTTTAAATTTACTTTGATTGACAGGTCACGATTTTTATATTTAATAAAATAATACGGGTCGAAAGATGCTACAGGTCGCTAAATATTCATTTCTCGCTAAAACCAAATTTTTGACTAGTAAACATTCATAAAATTCCACCAATGGCGAGCAGAAAGAAGCCGGCGACTGTAGACGCTGTAGATTGTGGCCGCCAGTAGTGGCCCAATGGGCGGCCGGTCTTAAACGAAAAGTTATCAACAAAAGCAAATCAAAAAAAAAATCAACATGTGTTATTGTCATGTCATAGAACAATGTTACGATATTTTTATTTATTATGTTTCTTAGTTTATATCGAATGGACTTTTTGCTATGATATATCTGATCACCGGCCGGTGAGGCGGAGGGCGAAAGAGATGAGGGTGAAACGCCAAAGACATGGCGATCTGGTAAGAAAACCCCACGAGATGGAAGACAAGGATTCTTTGTCTCATATTGATGTTGCTAGTTTCTTACAACAACCAGATTATGAGGCTTCTATGGCTAATCACTACAAACCTAAATGTACAGATAGGTAAGCTATTGTAATTTTAAACTTAATTTTTATTTTTATATCTGGTTTGATAGTATTGGTTTCTGTTTAATTGATGAGCAAGTACCTAAGACGAAAAGAGTGACTATACCCCTGAAACATTACTAGGTTCTTTATTATCAATTTGTAGAATTTGTTTTTCAAATATACCATTTATTTGAAATATAATGTTCCCTTTTTGTTTTCAAATAAAGAGAAATTCGAAATTTTGCAATGCAAATTTCAACTTTTCGTTATCCGGACCACAAAAGTAAAGTTTTTATGAGGATATAAAGCTGTTTCATGCTTTTTTATGTTAGAAACAATTAGGAAGTGATATTGATAACCCAGAAACAAAAATTGTGTCACACGATGTTATTACTAACGGAAATACGACCCATTGGTAGACTTGGAGCCATAGTCCACCACGTTGGCCTAATGCGGGTTGAGGACTTGATATGTCTTTTAAGATCTAAGTGAACAAGCATCTCTACATTGATTGTAATGAAGCTAATAATAATTAGGGTAAAACACAATTCAATGCTCAAAGTAAGACCTCTTTCGTAAAGGCAATCGTTCATTCTAGTGGTTACACTGCTGTCTCTAGCAATGACAGTGCAATCTTTGAAATAGATTTTCCTCTTATTATGTACGGACATCAGACTACACATTTTTGTTCGAAAATCGCCTCCAGTGCAACGGAACAAGATACGTCACTGTATATAGCTTGATATGCTGTTGACTATACATGAACCGACTCAGTAATGATACCTTAAAATATTTGTAAAAAATTCGTACAATACAATTTTGAAAAATTACAGGAGTCCAAAGGAATCGAGATATGACAATATAATTGCGCTTGGTTCTATCAATGGTATGAATTATCACATGCCTCTTATTAATAAACAACAACGAAATGAGAATTCAGGTAAGCAAGTAATTACTAAAAATTACTGGGGATTTGAAGTTACAAACTCAAGTCTGAGTGGTATCACTGCGTTGTACTACACATAAATTAGAATACACAACATGCGTGCCACATGGTGCGTTGAAACGGCGCGAGGCGATGGAACGTATCCGTATCAGACAAGGGGCCAAGAGACAAAGCGGAGAGGGGTGCTGTGGTTGTGTTGCGTATTGCTCGTGTGGCACTCGGTGTTGAAATCATAGCGTCGCGACGATGCGACGTATCGGTACGCCCATGTGGCATCACCCACAAACGTGCAGATTCATAGAAAATAATATAGCTGACAGTTTAGCCCGAGATGCTACAAAATAAATTACTAGTCGTCTTATGATGAAATAATGGTGGTTGAAAAGTCATTGGAAAGCATCGCTGTAGAAAAAACAGAACAGTCATTTAGTATTTAAAAACGTAGTTATAACACAACAGAAAGTGGTTTTATTAGAATACCTAGAAGTAGGTCAGGGTGAGAGTAGGCTTAATCAATCTGATTTTGAATTCTAGAAAATAATCGCAACGCTGCTCATGAAGATTATTCTAATAATGATGAAGAAACGCGTAGAGTACCCTTGGATAAGAGAGCGCACAGTCGCGTAAATGCGTGGTAATTATTTTTTTATAACTATATACAGTGGTACAGCATTCGAAGTTTGATAAAAAAATTATTTATAGTAAATGAATTTTCATACGTGATTTCTCTACGTGATCGATTCAGAAATGAGGAGATCCGTAGAAGAACTCACGGATATAGCTCAAAGGATTAGCAAGCTGAAGTGGCAGTGGGCAGGGCACAGGGTTCTCGAATGGAGACCACGAACCGGAAAGCGTTCAGTGGGACGGCCCCCTACTAGATGACGGATGACCTGGTAAGGGTGGCGGGTAACCGATGGCCGCGTCCTACCGGCTAGTCTGGCATCTTTGGGAGAGGCCTATGTTCGGACGGACGTCTCCCAACGGGTATAATGATGATGATGAATTTTCATAGCAGCGACTGGGAAAGATGGGATAATCGCATCTCCTTGATCAAGGCATCTCCAGATTTAGCACCATTCAACTTCCAACTCGTCATAATCTGATTGAGATGGCCTCAGTTATAAAACAATTTTGTTTTTCTTCTACTTGTTCGACTTGAAACTTTTTACTAGCAGTAGAGCTCCTTGTGAAAGAGTTCGGCCAGGGAAGTACTGCCACCTTACCTATTTCCGCCGCCAAGGTTCAATCTTACTGTACTACGCTTGCACAGGTTTCAATACAATACCTACAGCTTTCAGCCTTGCATAACAAATGACTATTTATTTATCTGGTATTGTAAGAATTAAATTCTATAACCGTGTTTAAACTATTTAGTTATTCTAAATCGAATAACTAAAAGAATTAAACGTAACTACATTGGGAGGAGTCGTCATTGGTTTTAGTGGCGTTACGCGGGCTTTAACACACTACAACTTGACTACGACACCTTTAGTATTTTTATTCTCTGATCGCAAGTAAGCACAGGCTGCGTAGGCATGCTATCATCCATCGACGAAACAGTGTAGCGGTATATTTATCGGAATTTCACTTAAACTTCGTCGTGGTATCTCAATCTCAAACAATACCGATAAATCCTTTAATTAATTAGCCCAATCTTTACTAAAGCTTTCTGGCACTGGGTCATCCCAACCTAACTAAAGACTTCATAAGTTCTAGAGTAAAATTTTTGCAATAATTATCCAAGGACACAACAATCCTAACGGATCAAAAATTTTGCTAGTGATCGATAATACAGACCTCTTCGTAATTTTAGAATCTACAGTTATATCTGCTGAAAACTGTAGGGTGTCAGATTGATGTGAATTACTAAGTCCTAATACACTAGCTCCTTACTTAAGTCCAAAGGCTTCAAAGAATTGACCTTGCTGTCAAAGAGACTAAGGGTCGTATTCTAGAACTCTATTCAATGCTCAAGTCAGGATTGCACTGGAAACACAAGCACTGGAAATACGATCCTAATGGCAGGGACTTGAGTATGATATCAAGTGCTTTAAACCATACTCAAATCCTGACTTGAGCATTGAGTAGAGTTCTAGAATACGACCCTAAGACAGTTAGTACGAAACTTCCGAAGTGGCAGACAAGCTGAGGACAAAACCTGAACTACACCGGCTGCGATATGCCTTAGACCTTCTACTATGTCGGACTTTGTTAGGTCATCCATACAAAAGTCGTTCTCTATAATGTTGCTTAAAACACTATCCTCACATTCCTTGGCCAGATGTAAAAGGCAGCGTGTGCTCAAGAAAATAGAGGCAGTGCCATACGTGACGGTATTCAATTGCAGAACTTGTATTGGCCCTCTTGAGTCATCTCGCCATAGTATTAATTGTAGGTGGCGCTGTTTTGGATCGATCTCTATTTGCCGATACATTTTCTCGATGACGAAGGAGAATAGAAATAAGATCACTTTGCAGTACTGGGCCAACTATCTGTATATCATTCAGAGATTTCCCAGAAGACGTTTTTACCGATACGTTAAAAATAGCCCTACATTTGGTGGTCTCACTTTTCTCCTTTATTACAGCATGATACGGTAAATAGTACCAAAATTTAGGTTTCTGAACCGGGGTTAAATTATTCAAATCAGCATACTCCTTAAGAAAATTCTTATAACTCTCCTTCAATTTAGGGTCTTTATCAAATTTTTAGTGTAAATTATTTAAACACTTTTTACCGACAAAATAATTATCGTTTAAAATCTCCTTTGGTAGTTCCTTCACTTAGGCAAACGCGAGGCATTTTCAAGAAAATGAGATTCGCACAGACGTTCCTCGACAGAATAGCATTTAGTCATAAATGGTAAGTCATCTGTGCGCCAAAACCTATCTAAATCCCGAATTTCTTTACGAAAATTGCAATGTACCTACATGTTTTGGTGTAGACTGACAATTAGGTTATGGGCCAGCAACTAACCATCCCAGCTTTAACTTTTATAAAATAGGCTGGTTCTTTACTAATCTTATAGTTTACACATAATAAAACGTCAATTTCAGACGGACGAAAAAATGTAGGGTCCGCTAAAATTAATTTGCGTGGTAACTGAATATTCCTGTATTGTATAGTGACTTCAAATAATAGTACACCTTGCCGTGACCTTACTATTGCCCTGGTTAATACCACAAATACTAATTGAGCTACATCACCGGTCAACCCGATCATCTTTTTACAATCCACTGTTATAAAGGAAGACTGACTGCCTGTGTCTAATAATGCTCTGACAGAGTGGGAATCACCATGAACCACCTCAACGACAGCAGTGCACAATAAAACTTGACTAGAAAGTGACACTGGCAGGGAAGATGTAAACAGTTGACTGGTTTCATTGACAGTGGAAGTATCTATATGTAATAGCGTATTGTTTTCTTTCCTACACAGGCGACAACAGCCCTTAAGTTGATATTTAAATTAATTGTCGCCATGTCGAAAATAACTCTTACATAATTTTCGTTTTCCAACTTCCTCTAACCTATCCTCTACACTCATATGTTTAAACTTGGGGCACTCATGTAAGTAATGTTTGTCGTTGCATATTACATTACATTCACGATTCATTTTTTTATCTACGAATGCTCGCAAATGTTTAGAAGCATGATCGACAATAAAATGCTAAGCTTTGCAAGATTCTTTAGAAATAGGCTCAATATTATGTAAAGACTTAGACTTTATTTTTATAAGTAGGGGGCGTACCCAGTATTTTTTGCCCCTTTGCCAGAAGTGAAAAAAATAAATTCTCAATGGCAACCCGGTCCACCACGTGACTCTCGGTATCGTCTAAACATACCATATTCATCAAATTCTGTGAGCAATGATTATATTTAGCTAATCTTTAATTCTAGCTCCTAGCGACCTTTAAATCTTCTGAATAGTGTTCATATTGTAATCATAATATTGAGTCAAACGACTCTTGATAGATGCACGTATTATTTTTAACTTAACAATTTCCTCTTTTTGCTCTGATGAAAGTTCTGGGAATCGACTCTGGTGTCAATTTTTTATCAATATTAGGCATGATTCCAATCACTAACAAAATAAACGCCCCAACATTGAACTGCGTAAGACAAAAAATTACAAACTCTAAGAGGCGAAAACAGCTTGAGTAGTCAGATCCAGTCGTGCTTATGATGATGACTTGCCGCGCCAATGTCACACACCAGCAAGACGCGCCGCACTTAGATCCGCCACGCACAGCGTTAGGTATGTACGTTGCGCTGAAATCGGTCAGCAAATATCTTTGTAATGTTTTAATTAGGAGAACTATAAACCTGTCGGTAGTTATATCTTTATTTTAACGGTAACAAAATATTAACGTTGAAATCGTATAATAATGTTAACTTTAAGGTGTATCAATAATTAATCAAATTTCTCAAATACGCCAAATCACTGGCAAAACTACAATCGTTTTAAATTAGCAATAGTATTTAAAATTTTCATTGAATTGATATTCAATTTTTTTGTGAAATGTAATTATAAATGTATTATACATATATATAATTTATAAAACTTAAAATACATTGAATAGCGACATCTCTCGCCAGGACTGGTAACTGTGAAGATATCTAACTGGGTGATAAAACTTTCATAGATTTCTCATAGATGGCGCTACTATTAAAAAGTCGTTGAAAAAACGAAATACAAAGATACGACGCAAGCACATGGAAACATTAGTGAGGTCCGCTGGTTCGTTCCGTGGCTTAATTGGTATAGCGTCTTTCACGGTAAGCTAGAAGACGTCGGTTCGAATCTGGCCGGATTGAAGAAATTTCTTCTGAGTGTTCGATCTTTGTATTAATAATTATAACAAACTAGTGGAATAATTTAACAAAAAAAATGTATATCAATTCAATAAAAATTTAAAATACATTGAATAGCGACATCTCTCGTCAGGACTGGTACTTATGAAGATATCTAACTGGGTGATAAAACTTTCATAGATTTCTCATAGATGGCGCTACGACTAAAAGTCTTTGAAAAAACCAAATACAAAGATACGACGCAAGCACATGGAAAAATTCGTGAGGTCCGCTGGTTCGTTCCGTAGCTTAATTGGTATAGCGTCTGGCGCGGTAAGCTAGAAGATGTCAGTTTGAATCTGGCCGGATCGATGGATTTTTTTCTGAGTGTTCGATCTTTGCATTAATAATTAGTAATAGTAGTTAAAATACAATCGTAACCAATCAAAATAACATGTAGAAATAAACCTGACAATCGAGTACGTAGGAACTTTTTACACAAATATTGACTAAATTAGGTAATAGAAAAGGAATTAGGGCTACTTCCCATGGGTTAGGCCTCCAGATCTTGATTATCTCCTTTCTGCAGGTCCCAGAAATAGCTGTGTCTTCTTTTTGACCTTGCCACCTTGAACTTGACTGCTTGCTCCCGTAGAACAAAATAGACTTCAATTCCAAATTGCATAGATGAGTCCTATCACGGTCGCTAAATTGTTTAGGGGGATTATTGAAATTAAATTCTCTCTTACTACTCGTACTTTAACGGGAAATACATTGAAACTGCTAGGTACAGAGGTTTTTAAAAAATATAGGGAAAAAATATATGCACTCTAAGTTGGTGTTCCGATGACAAGTAAAATTGCTGTAATGAGAGGTTCATCGCCGCCTGGAGCCGGTTTCACTCCGCACCACACATCTCTCGTATTTGCTCGGATGCTACAAATAGGCGCGTATACACTTCTGTTTTTTTCAATTTCAGCTGTCTGTTTAGTTACTTTTCTTTTTACTACACAAACCACTTTTCCTTAAACAAATTGGAAATTTTGTGACGTATTTTTTATTTTATTTTATTCGGAACTACAACAGCTATTAATATGGATTTACATTGAATGTTTTTAGGTAAAGCTAGGTAGCGCCAATCACAGTTGTGCACATTAGTTTTCAAACATTTAACTTATGGTAAAAGTAAGGCAAAAGTTAACACCTCAAAAAGAAAAAATACAAACACAAAAGTATGTACAATAATAAGCATAACAAAAAAGGTAAAGCGATGTGAAAAGTGCAATGCAGACCTACAGAAAAGCGTCATTAAAAGAAAGTTATTAAATAAAAAGACACAAAACAAGAAAAATAAACCAAATCTGTAAGCGATACACTGCACTGTATTCAAATTTAATGAGTATTTGTACCTTGATTTGTATTTGCTTCTTGTTACCGTTAAATCTTTCTGCCTTCATCTGTATTCACTCCTTCTTTCCGTTAAATCCTTCCGCTTTGATCTGTATTTATACCTCCTTACCATTAAATCCTTTTGCCTTGATCTGTATTTACTCCTTCTTACCGTTAAATCCTTCTGCCTTGATCTGTATTTATACCTCCTTACCATTAAATCCTTCTGCCTTGATCTGTATTTACTCCTTCTTACCGTTAAATCCTTCTGCCTTGATCTGTATTTACTTCCTCTTTCCATTAAATCCTCCTGCCTTGATCTGTATGTACGCCTTCTTACCGTTAAATCCGTCTGCCTTGATCAGAATACTGCAATATGGCTCAAGCGACACTTAACTCTGTGAAAAATACTCCCTTATCTATGAAATATGGATCAAATAATAAAATGATATACAAAAAATATATTTTAATATACACTTCACCTTCTTTCGTTGAATTCATTTTGTACAGGGAATTATTTAAGAAAAAAACTTTAAAATACTCTCCTGTAAAAGTTAAAATGTTGCTTAAATCAAGTCAGCTTTTCACCGTCGACATTATTTGATCAAACTCCATGTATATGGCATCGCTATGTTTGAATACCACAAAGTAGTTAAGAGGTGAAGAAATTTTGAGATTTTTCGAATTTTAATCTATCTCAATATACCTACCTTATTTTTAATATTATTTTATATCTATATTTTGTAATTTGATATGTTATTAAGATGACAAAGTGCATATTCTGTTCATATAATCATACAATTGTAATAAATATTTATATTTTCCAGCTCCATGAAACAAATGAAGTTTCCGTTTTTTTCCCATAAGAAGACTGTGACACCAAAATCGAAGAAGTCAAAAAAGAAGAAGACATATGTAAGTACAACAAACTACCCAGTATTACAGAGTTCACTGGCCAAATCGGCTAGTATACAATCGTTTAGTGATAACGACAAGATTATAAAACGATCGTACGAGGAGACATTCTGTCCATTGTGCAAAAGAAAACTCGGACCAAAACGTGGAAATTCTGAGCTTAAAAAAAAAACTAAGATAATTCACAATAGCAGGCAGTTTTACCAAAATGCAGAAGAAGGAGCCAAAGCCATATCCAATAAAAATATTCAAAATGAAGTTACAGGCAAAAATACTTTAGATTCAGTATCGCATGGAGGGAACAGGTGGAAAAGATTCGATAGCGGTGATGAAAGAGAAAAACATTTAAAAGAAATAGAAGATATTCAAAATAAAGTAGACAATATGGACGTAAATAAACTAGGCGCACCAGCAGAGACGCATAAAGGAAGTAGCGATAAAGATAAAGAAAAAGAAAAAGAAAAAGAGGAAATGAGATAGGTGTAGCTAGTACGTGTGACTCAATATTTTAGAATAAATTGATTTAGATATGTTTCAATTGTCTACTAGTTCGTTATTTTAGATTGTCTCTTAAGATTATTTTTACGCGTGTATTTAAATAAAGTAACGTCTTACATATAATATTTGAATTACCTTAAATGACCTACCTAAATAATCTATTCCCATGCTCTCAAAATGGAATAAATTATCAAGTTTAATTATTTTATTGAATGTCAAGATGTTTCACCACCATGATATCGTTTACTTGAAGGTAAAACCGCATAAGTGACATTTTCCACAAAAAATCTCCAAATTGTGTACCAATTGTAAGAAATTCGCCATCTTTAAGCAGAAAAAACATTATTAAGTTTATAGATTTTTTGTTATTAAGTTTCACGTGCAAAAAGACAGCGATTTCCTGACCATAGCTATATAAATTATAGACTTTTGGTAGAAAATGTCACTTATGTGATTTTACTTCACTAGTTTGTTATAATTATAATATCAGTCGCATTTGCAGGCGGACGTGCCTTCTGCATATTGTATTAAAATTTTAATAACAATAAATTTCATAACTGTGTCAATACGCGTAAATCTGTGTCAGCGCATGGTGATCGTGCGGTTATTGGTATTACGTTAAGATTTCTATAGTGATTTCTGGTTCTAAAATAGATAGTCCATTTAATCGGAGTGCGATGACAACCAGTAGCCCACCCCAGAAACGACAAGTAGAAGAAGCCCCAACTCCCATACCAACAATTGAAGCAGTATCAACTGTAGAAATAGAAAAGTGGCTATCTTCAATCGAGCAATGCCTGAACGTTTTAAGCAGCATTGCAAATGATGGTAAACTCAATTCAGAGCAATAGCTTAAAATATGCAGCATAAGCATAAGTATTATGGGAAAACTCGTTCCAGTTAGCCGTAAAATATCAGTCCCTTAAGCAAAAATACATTTCATATCAAATAACTATCCAGAACCATAATGACCAGAAAGGAATCTGTTTCTTCACATAGCGATTTTGCTGAGTAGCCCAAAGACGACCACTTTGCAGGGGAAAGCAATGGTGCCTTCCTACGATTTGTGGACTATATATGGTTGATTGGAACCATAGATATAGAAATTGGAACAAATATGCGAATAGGTAAATTGGGAGCACAATACCTTTAACGATATTAACCTCGTGGCAGTTCGCCGGAGTTTTCAGAGATCTCAGCTCCTTGCTTCGCCCAGGGAGCGGTTCTTGATCCTGTAGGTTCACTAAAGCGTACTTTCACTATTGCTTACTATAGATTTCAGTTTATTATAGTTTCACTACGATATTTTAGTAAATTAGCTGAGGCGGTTGCACACGGCCATTTGCATTCATCGGCGAGATTTCAACTCTAACGGAAGCGAGACTAATCTCCTCTGTCCACTAGGTGTCACTAGTTGGGTGACGTTGGCTCGCTCTTGCGTGCGAGTAAAGGAATGTGCGGGAAAGGGATGAATAAGGAAACAATTATTGATCCAATCAAACCATTTCGTCCAAATCGTCCAAATTTACGAGGTAAAATCAAAATGCTATTTGATTTTACCTCCAACCATTCCCCCGGCTTGTAGGCTCCCTTCACAAAGAAAGAAATAAACGAATGTGTGAACTACCTATGGCTAAACTAAACCTAATCTACCAATTAATATTGATTAGGCAAAGGGCAAAGACGTACAACTGGGCGTACGTATGTTCCAGTTGTCGTTCTAACACGAACAATCCGAACAACTCCATTGAATCCCGGAAAAACTTCTTCTACCACCCCAAGCGGCCAATGTAATGGAGATGTATTCTCGGTTCGAATCACTATAACCTGTTCTCCAACGCTTTCAAAACGACTGAACCAATTTATCCAGTAAAGAGTGACGCTTGATAATATGAAGTCGATCTTCCTCTACTTCTAACGCAGGTAAGTATTTTAACAGTGTCACATTCAAAAAGTGCACTGGAGTCAATGCAAGTCGCTCTGCGGGATCACTAGATAGTGTTTTACAAAGAGGTCGTGTGTTCATAACTGCTTCAACCTAAGTGAGCACTCTGCTCAATTCTTCAAATGATACGATTTGTTCACCTAAAACGCAAAAAAGATGTGATTTTAGGCTTTTGATGTTAACTTCCCAATTACCACCAAAATATCTAGCTGCGGGCGTGTTGAACGACCACTCAATACGATTTTCCGCCAAGACGTGAGCAAAGTCGATGTTGATTCGAATCGACGTCTTCGAGCAAACCGTGCCAGACGCTATGCCAACTAAGCCACGGAACGACCCAGCGGACCTCACGAATTTTTCTGTTGTTGTTGTCGGGTCTTTGTATTTGGTATTTAACGACTTTTTAGCCGTAGCGCCATCTATGATAAATTTATGAAAGTATTTAGTGACCGTTTACTTTTACGTTACAGTTAATAGCGACGTCTCTAGCCAGGGCTGGTACCTGTAAAGGTGCCTAACTGGGTGACGAATACTTTTAAAAAATTCGTTCAGGTCCGCTGATTTGTTCAGTGGCTTAGTGGGCATAGCTTCTGGCATGGATTGCTAGAAGACATCGGTTCGAAACCGGCCAGATCGGAAGAATTTTTTGTAATTGTTCGATCTTTGTATTAATACATATAACAAACTACGTTTTAGTTAAGGGTTTAATAAAAAAAAAACAAGAAAATACACAACTACTTAATAAGCTTGTCACGTTAAATAAACGGGAAGAAGCATTGACTTTTGTAAGTCAATGGGAAGAAGAATATATGGCCCTCTGCCATTTAGTGTATACTTATTTTATACTTCATAAGTAAACAAGACAGTAATTTGTACGATAACAATTAATTAATTATCAACCGTTTTCAAGTTAATTACAATCGATTGGATAAAGTGATCTATCACGAACGGCACGAAGTTCCATACTTTTATTTTTTGACGGGAGGGAAATCTTTATGGATACCCCTGAGCCCAGGGAGACTCAGGGGTTATGTGGGGACTCTCCCTCCAGACTGGAGGGCCTACCCCACTAAAACCCGCCCGGGTTTCCCTCTCGCCGGTTGAGTCGGCACCGTGGGATCGGTGAACATTCACCACGACGCCGCCCGGCCGCCCTAGCTTGCGCCAGGGCTCCCGCGCCATCGGAGGGGCGAGTCGGTTGTCCTCCGACCCGCCCCCCAGACGAGTGAGGCCGTGCAATGCAGGCTCCGGAGTCCCTGTCCAGAGCCCGCTGGCTTCACTAGGGGATCAGGCGAGCAGCGAACTGCCTTCGCCTTCTCCCCGTACGTCTGCGCCGAAGCGGGTGCGCGTCCGCCGCGTCCTCGCGCACCCGCTCCGCGGCCTCCTTTTGCGACATAACCTCTGCGCAAAAGGAGGCCACCGCCTCCCAGGACTCCTCGGTACCGAGCATGGCGGTAACCACGCTCGGCAGCGAGAGGTCCTGCCCTACAGTCCCCGTCAGAGTGCGGCGCTGCCCATCCCACCGGCTGCACACCTCTAGGGTGTGCTGCGCGGTGTCATCCGCAGCGCCGCACTCGTAGCACGACGGGAACGACGAAGTTCCATCCTGCTATAAGTATTGCTAAGTCGCTAGGAGTTTCCACAGATCGTCTTGATCATTCCATCACTTGTAACTCTGTAAGACGCAGTATCTACTGCTGAAACCTCCTGCCGCAGTAATCGTCGGTCCCTGGTCGTACCATCCCCTGCAGCCCCCAGACCTTAGTGTCCAAGTAACACTGCGAATTTAGCTCAGCTATTGCAGCAACGGCTAGATACCTCCTCTACTTAGAGATTACATTTCTATTTCAACCAAATTCTTTGTTTTATTTGTGTGGGAAAATCTTTGTAACAAATTTAAATGTGTAATAGGAGTTCCTGGTTTTATGTGTGGTTAGTTATAATATTTAAAACTAATTATTATTTACACCACGCCGTGGGGCATAGCATTTGGAATCAAACGCCACGCTTATTTCGTAACCTACATTGTAACGATATTACCGGACACTGCCAAGTATATATTACTAAGAGAAATGGGGTATTGTTGCGTCTACCGGTCATCCACATTGAACATTCGAATATCCCTTCCATTATTGCCATTTGTGTTGCCAATTTACTGCTATTGGTTCTTCTCGTCGAGACAAAATAATCATTTCATAATTTAGTATTTTATTGAAATTTGAAATACCGACATGCATCTAGAATTAAATGACGTACAATAAACAGAAAAACAAAGCCTAAAAACTTAGACATTTAACCAGTGCCAGAGAATAAAGAATAAGAAAACGGACACTCTCCGTCCCTCCCTAGCTTTATACCGCACCACGCCCCGCACATTGTCGGTCACATTGACTGAACGACAACAAGGCTGCCGGCGAGCCGTTTTCGCGCGTAGACGGCTTAGATATTTGAATATATCATGTATTCATTACGAAACTTGTAATATAAAACATCATTTTACGTTACTATTTATAATGGTCGTAAATTGTGATGTATACGGCTCTGTATCATCATTTTCCGAAATATGATACGAAGTAAGTAAAAAAAAACTTATGTCTAAGACTCATTCTTCATTTATTTACTGCAGAGTAATGTATGTATGTGTAAAAAATACAGATTTATTATATCAATATAAAGAAACACCAAGACTTCGCGAATTTTCTATTCGTATTGCCGATAAATATTACGTAGGTAGTGAACATATCTAATTATTAACTAAACTTGGACAAGCAATTTCAAATACCTTCGTTACCTTACTTAAAAGTACATGTTCGAAATATAACATTTTAAGTGCTTTTAATATATTTTTGAAATAAAGCTTCAATATTACTCTAGTTAGTCAATTAATAAAAATATAATAATATATCGATATAAATACCTAATAGACATGTATAATTATCAGGATTGTATTAATAGAATCATAGATAACAAATTCGCGTTAGAATTTTCGCTATGTTGCCGCTCCGACCACTTAACATAATAGTGCGAGAAAGTGACG